CAAATGGCCAACAAGAATCTATTTTTCATGTGGGGAGGAAAACCTGATATATTTGAAGGAAGACTGGATACAACTTAAGAATAAGAAGATGTGATCAAATAAAAAAGGAAGTGGAAATTCCCAATACTTCCAGATACTTTTTCTCTTCTGGTAGCGTCCACAATGAAGGAAACTGGATTAGATTACTTCTCATGTACTATGTACATATGCATACATGTACCTCTTTTATGAAGACTGTACCATTCTGCAATCTAAATGCAGATTTTGATGTTTAATGAAATACTGCCAATATCTATTTAAAAGAGTAAAGAAAGTAACCAAAATGTAGAAGAATCTTCTAAAACCAGTATGACACTATTTAATTACTAAAAAAATGTTGCAGAAATGAGTTGTCTACCTCCAGAGAGCCAAGATTAATCTTTTCTGAACAGTGTGTATGACAACTTCTTAGATGCAGCAGAAAAAAAATTCAATTTTAGATGAGGCCACTGATAGAATCAAATTGGTATTTCAAGCAAACAAGAGCAGCAGCATTTATTTACTCGGTGTCTGGATGATCCAGGTTATTATGCTGGTGTCGGAGTATTTGATGCTTCATCATGAAAACATGTCTCAGGCAAAAATCTTAATAACTTTTCTGCAGCACTCCCAAAGTGATAATAAAATGGCTCATTCTTAAACTGGTTCCCATGTTTTGATTTCTGTCATTTTATTGTTTACTGGGTGGGAGGGGGTAAAGAGGAGCATTAGAAAGGGGTCATACCTATTAGGGAGGACCATTTTGCTGCCTGAGGCAAATAATAACATAGGTCCACCTCTCCTGGACATACAGACTCTGTTTAAATGGTAAGTTTTTACACCTTTCAATGTTACAGATTGGAAAGAACCTATATCGCTACAAATCAGTTTGGTAGCTCAAAATAGGCCATAAGGTACACATAACTGAATTGCCTAACTTCCTTTTGTTGTCTAAAATAGTATATGTGTACTAGATAATGCTATTGGAAAATGAGATTAACAGGAAGTCATTGGTTTTTATATATTTTAATGGTTTTGTATGGATTTTATAATGTTGTTCTAATTGTTTTTAATTGTATACTATGGACTGTTATGGCATCAAATTGCTGCCAATTTGTAAGCCGCCTTGAGTAGCCTTTAGGCTGAGAAAAATGAGATAGAAATATCATAAATAAATAAATATATGGCTTACCTTGAGTTACAAAACTAGAAGTGGGGAAAAGTATGATAGCTGGGACCCTATGCTGGTTGCACAATGCAGGTCTGAATTAATGAGAGGAACACATACACAAGATAGCACAGCGAGTGAGAGACACAGCTGTGTCAGAGTCGTGGGAACATTGTTCAACAGAAAGGGGGAGAGGAGGCATTTCTATCCCATTTACCATCTTCGTAAGCTGTTGTTTATCATTTAACAGTAAATAACTCTTAACATTTCTTCACTTGCCTTAAGCACTATGCTTGGCTGTCTGTTGTCCCTCCCCTTTCTGACCCACGTTGCACATATCTTCCCGTCCTTAATTCTGACCCGCGTTGTGCAAGTAGCATTGCTTAGGGTCCCAGCTATCATACTTTTTCCCTAGAAGTGCATCTACAATGTAGAATTATTGTAGTTTGGAATCATGGGAGTTTTAGTTTTACAAGGTCTTTAGCCTTCTCTGCCAAAGAGTGGTGATGTTTCACCAAACTACAAATAGCAGGAGACTTCTGCTACATCCCCAGTTTGTGCCATCTGCATTATTTGTTGTGCTGTACATAATGGTAGAGCCAGCATTGTGACTCTTTTATCTGGGAACCAATTCAATGCCTGTTAAGTAGAAGGAAGACGTCTATACTGCATTGGTCCTGGACATTCAGATTAATCATTGTTTACTGTGTGAGGAAAGAACACTTGTACATTCTGTCCCTTCAGCATGGCTGCAAGGAAATTGAAAGCTTGACTTCATTTCTTTTTAGTAAATTGCAACTTAACTTTACACATGAACTGGGTTGATCTTAAATATTATTTGTTGACAGAAGCCATATGTCACATTAGCCACAGTGTGTTGGGTCGTGATGAGACAGTACTCAGATGTAAATTTAGCATAATGCTGTAACTGGTGGCTCATTTGCTATTTTTTTAGGAGTTGATGTGTTTCACATAATAAATGCAAAGTTAGAATAATTTAAAGAAGAGTTTGTGGAGGTGGGAGGAAATGAAAGATGCCTTTTCCTTATATATTCCAACAAATAGCTCCATAAAATGCTGACAAATCCATCACAAAGCTTTCAGTTGTAGAATTTAAAATATCTAGCAGAAACCTTACTCAATGCTGGGAAAGGAGCATGAGTAAGCAGTGAAAAGTTATGGAGGGCTAGGTATATATAGGTAGCAGATGGATGTCTAAAGAAAATAACCATATTTCTACAGAAAGATAAGCAAACCAATTAGAAGATTTGCCATCCAGTAATTACCAGGGAATCCTGTATTATTAAAAGGAAGCGGCAGCTTACTTACATAACAAATGCCTCCCTTGTTAATGAGCATGAATAATGAGGCAGATGCCTGAATAAGGCTCTATTATACTGTTATCACAAGCAGCTGAATCCTGTGTTGATTAATGGCACAGCATAAGTCGCTAAGAAAAGCAACTTCATTTTAAAGTGTTGTCACCAACACTTTTGCAGGCTTGGCTAACCACTTCCACTGACTTCTGTATCATTAATTGAATGTGACACTTAATTATTGCAATATTTTTCTCCAGAAATTAGATATGCAGTTGGATGGCAAGGGTTTGAAGACTGAGAAGGTCTTCATCCAAGATTCAAGTGAAATGGAACTGAATGTTCTCAATGACTATAAGGATATTGGCATTATTCTGTCAATACTTATATTACAGTTAAATCAGAATATGTAGGTCCACATTCTGTCTTGCAAACTAACCTGAAAGCTCAAGAAAGGTGGCAGTAATATCCATATTGTTAAGCCCATGCAATTGGGACTTTCCAAGCCAAAGAGTGTTGAAAAGAGGGATTACAATTTTTGGTTGTCACAGCAGATGTTTTCCATTAGACTTATTCATCACATCACCTGCTACAATTTGAATCTTTGTAAACTTGTTATACTGTTGTAGTTGACACATTTTCCTACATCATTACATAAAACATATATAATGTAGAGAGGTACATATGAGGATTGATGCATTTCTGTTTAATGTAAGATACAGTTATTATGCTTCAATTCAGAGTTCAGATTTTAAACTTCATCAGGCTTAAGATACAAGTATTGCAGGGCCACAGTGGTGCAGCAGGTTTAACTCCTAGCTGCAGGAAAATCTGCTCACTGGAAAGTTAGTAGTTCAAAGCCGCGAGTCAGGGTGAGCTCCCAACTGTCAGTCCTAGCTTCTGCCAACCTAGCAGTTTGAAAGCATGCAATGTGAGTACATCAATAGGTACCACTTCGGTGGGTAGATAAAAGGGCACCCCATGCTGACATGTAGGCATGCTGGCAAAACATGGTTGAAGATGTCTATGGACAACAGATTCCTCAGCATGGAAAAATGCAACAAGTGCACCTCCCCATGGCTAGAGTTGAGCATTGCCTCCAGAAGCCGGAGGTGAAAACATTCTTTAAAAACCCATTTGATTCATTTATCAGTGTTTCTTCTCTCTTCCTCTAATAATGGGGTGGACAATCAACAAAGAGATAGGTGGCATTTTTGCTTCTTGTACCCATTCCAAGACCACACAGCTGCTTCCAATACAACCAGAAGTGATGTGACACCTTTTTCAAATTGTTTGTTTGTTTTGTTTATATAGAAATAAAATGCTTATTCATTTGGGGACCACAAATGGTTTCCTGGTCTCCATGGGATGCCCTTTTACCAACCCTGCTTTAACACAATTTCTTTACCTGAGAAGAAAGTGTCTCACACAACCCTCTGCCCAGCACATGAAAGTGAATAGCTACTGACTCCATACTTTTGACTTCAGGATATAGGACTAAACCTGGTTTAATGTGCATGTAAGACCTGGGTATCCTACATATGTCTTGGTCTTGTAACTATCCTTCAGTGCTTTTGTCTATTACTCTTGAGCTTGAATGTCTTCTAGGGATATACCATTCTTTGCTAATTTTTGTCTCCAAGAAAGCAACAAGTGATTTGAACAAGATTCCTCCCACTGTGAAGTCTTTGAAAACTATTTGGAGTTCAAGATTTATTCTGTCCAAAATGGGCATATGGCACACTTACTCGGAAACAGTATTTTTTGCAGAAGTAATAGCATTTTGGTGTTGAAATTAGTATTTCCCACAGAAATACTATACACTCCAGAAAAGATATTTTTCAACAATTTTTCAAATATTTTCTGCTAATAAGACATGAACAACTCTACAAACATTATACAGATATGAAATTTAGGCAATCATCAAAGAAAACTTCCACTAGAAAATAACTTTTAAAAAATGAAAAGAAAGACATGGCATCTCTTTCAAAACAACTCTTGCTAGCACCTTGCCCAATTTTGAAACACAATGAACTACAGCGTGAAAGTTTAGAAGTAGATATGGTAAAAAGAAAAGGCCCGTTTACAGTCTGTTTCACTTATCATTTCTTTCCAATTTTATTTGTCCTGGACTTTGGGATTTATTTTTCTTTCAATCTCAGATTTGGTTCATCGCAGCACTGATCTTTTCCCCCAAAAATGTTTGCATAAAAATATACATGCATCTGCAAAAATGTATGTTTCTCCTAATCCATTTTATGCAATTTTACTAATGTATTTTATAAGCATTTTCCTAATACAATGCATTCAAGTGTTTTTTTCACTGCTCTATATATTTTATAAGCACATCCTTCTAATATGCTCTCTTTTATGTTAGAGAGCTCCATTATAAAAATATGTGGATTCCTTATCAAGGAGTCGATTATATACATTCAGGAAAAAAGTGAAAGAACTCATATCAAATTACTTTCTCTGAAAGAAAGAAATAGAAAATTTACATGCTTCCCGAAGCTTTTCCTTGTCATAGTGCAATCCTTCATAATCTTGTAAACCAATTCTATTCACTCTGATCCGTAGGCGTTCTGGGATGGCGTGGGGACTACAAAGAAAAACAAGGTATCTGTTAGAAAATAATGCCAGCTTAAAGCTAGTACAGTCACAAAAAAGAGATCATTAGATTTTCCTGGAATGAGTGGGAATAAGAAAAATGGAACAGAACCTTTATCATAATAATCCCCATATGCTGACCTGACCATCTCAAAATGCAAGCTTTATGCAACCATGAACATCTCCTTTGGATTTACTTGGTTGTTGGAGACTGCAGGGATAGTAAGAACTTTTAGTGAAATGTCAATAACATGGGTTATATTTTTACCAGAGCTTCAAAATGCTTCTGCCTACCAACTGGAATTTCTGACAGAGAGTTTCCATGGTCACCCTGCCATCTGAAATAAGGAAAATGTTGCCACAATTTCTAATGTTCTCCCCAAGAAGTTCGGAGATATAGCTATGGGCTGGTCACCTATACATAATATATTACATAACCATCAACCCTTGGAGAGCCTACAGGTCATTCTGAAGCAGCACATATTGTCTATACTCATGTACAAGTTGACCTCATGAATAAGTCAAAGGCAGGCATTATGAATTTTATACAACCTGTGGGTAAGTTGAGAATCACTTCACAAAGAGTGTGAGTGTCACCTTGGGATGCCAGCTACTTCTGGCCACTGCTACAGGCATTTGAAAAGGCCTTAAGTGGCACCATAGAAGAGAGAATACAGGGGTCAATGTTTCTTTTAGGTTCTCCCAAAATATACTAAGCTCTTGTTTCTTTTTAAGGCGAACGGCAAGAGCTTAATACATCTTGGGCCCTTTTTCTTAAAAGAAAGAAAGAAAGAAAGAAAGAAAAAGGTGCAGGGCTTACACTGACTAGTGGATTAAGTCAACCCAAGTTTTTGGGGTTGATTTTTTTGACTTAAAATGCTAGATTTATACAGGAATATATAAGGTAGTTTAAAAATCAAGGCAAAACTCTCACTCTCAGAATTTTCACCTATCCTTCAAACTCGGAGAACGGAGAGGGCAGACCCTGAGACTTTATATCTTCACTCAAAACAAGTGCCTCATATTTCCATTGAACCTTTTCTACTGAAGTTTATTGAGAAGGCAATTAACAAATATTTTCAAAGAAGTTTGTTTTATATCTTTGGCTGGTTGCTAGAAACAAATCTATCACCTCTGAACAGATTTTTTTTAAAAAACCAGAAAGAACTAGAGTGAATGAACTCCCCGTTAAAGCAGCTCCTTCAGACACGACTGTTTCATCTTAGAAATGACAAGAAGGATGAACTCGAGCAGCAGGTTAAGACTGTAAGCAGAGGAAAGTATCTACCATTACAAGCTTTTTGGTAGGAGGAATATAACATACTTTGAGGTTCAGACAGTAGGATAGAATTTTAAAATAATTATTAAAAGCACATTCCCAGCTTAAATAGCCATGTTCGCCCCCCACCCTGTATTCCAGGTAGACAATAAATCACCAGTTGTAAATAGCAACAGTGGCAGCTGTGTTGTCCTCTGACATCAAAAGCTCGATACATCCAAGGTAAGCTGCCATGATTTGTCTAGAGACACAGCTGCACACATATCTTCCATGCAGCTTCAGGGGACAGCTGTCTACCTCAAGTGCCATTTGGACATCACTTCTGACTCAATAAATCTACCTGCTGTTTTTGTAGGTAGACTCGAGGACTGAAAACACAGGGGATGGAAAAGAGAGCAGCTGATGAATAACAGCACACCTTGTGCAAACTGACTTGTCCTACTTTTTTACACAGTGTGTATTTATTTAACATTCAAAAAGCATTTGACTTAGAAAAAAGGATCAATACAGGAGGGGGCACCAACATTCTCTAAAGTTTGAAATAAAATAAGATGTTCTGAAATTAAATATTGACCTGGCTTTTAAAAAGGTTTTATGGTTTATTTTTTCATTTTCTTTATTATGACCTATATTATGAATTTACACTTTCTTGTTACTAGATTGGACAAAAAAAAAACTCCGTAACTATCCTACCCATGTATTCTTTTTTTGAAACAGAAAAACATATATACATGCATACACATTTGTATATTTGTATATTTATAGCAAATATACAAATGCATACACATTTGTATATTTGTATATTTATAGCAAGAAGCAGGTAACCATGCAATTCATGTCGAAGAATACAAGCCTTTTGTGGCTGAAGAGAAGGAACAAATTCCAGCAATGTTTTGGTGAACCATCTGAAAGACTGACAGTTTTGAAAGCAAACAGGTAAACAACAAAGCAAGAAAGGAGAATGTCACCTCATGTTACACAAGTAGCATCTCTCTTTTTTAAGAAAAATATCCCTGGTGATGCTAAGTAAAGTTGACAAAGTTGATATGAGCTTTAAAAAGGCAGGCAGATAGTGAGTAATGATTTTGCTCTAAGAGAAAACTTCCATAATCTCTCAAACACAAATCTAAATTTATTCTCTCTCACACACACACACATTTTATTATTCTGTTTTATTTGCTTGTAGATTACATCTTACTGTCCAAATAATGTTATTGTATTTTAACATGGAGTGAGAATCTGGTCTTGTTGCTTTGAACACAATGATAAAGATATCAAAAATAAATAATCAACTGAACAAAGATGAGAAGGGAGGACAGGGAAGTTTCTCCATATACTGTAAGTAAAGGGCTACATAATTTAGGAGTTTTATGCATACGTGAGTCAACACAGTGAGTAAAATGTGCCTTAAATGGGGAATTTTGCTCTATCCAAAGCTCTCAGGAGTGTTGTTTTTATACCAAAATAGATCCTAGTCCACGGATTGCTTCATCAATTGAAGTGCCACCTTTTTTTTTGATACCTACTATTGTTTCAACAACCATCCCGCAACCAGCAATCTTAATGGTCAGTCATGCCATTTTCTATGATATCCCATTACAAAATCATTGCCTTGAAGGTGTGTCGCAATGTCAATCCATGGCCACTGAGTATACTCTGTTGTCACTAGGTTACTTTGGTGTTTTCCTCAGTCTTAAATTCCCCACCCTCCACAATTTTGTGTATTTCTGCAAGCCTAACGTTGCCTTCAAGCCTTCTTTTGTGCATGGAAAGTGCTGTTTTATCTAGGTTGTCTAGATTCCAACTGTGGATAGACTAAAATCCCATAATATGCAAAGGATAAATCCAAGCATGGCCAGACATTCTTCTGGTTTCAAAAAAAATAACATTAAACAGTGCATGATGATCCTGAAAGTGATTTAAAAGATGAACCATAACTCTGGGAAGTCCATGGATCCTATAAGAATGGAAAGCTACCACCACATGATGATGATGATGATGACTTTATTTTTATACCCCGCCAACCATCTCCCCAAGGGGACTCAGGGCAGCTTACAAGGGACAAGCCCAAAAATTACAAATAAAACACAACAGATTCAAAACATCAGATATAAAGATATAAAAACAATCACAATTTTAAACAACAACAAAACAATAAGGCTGAAATAAAGAACATAGCTGAGGTACAGGCTCAAAGGATACAATACATTCTGAAGGGAGCACAAGAGAAGTGCAACAATCACGTAGGGAGTGCTGGAAACAGTCATCAAAAGTGTTGAAATAGACAATAAGAGGACCGTCCTAAAGTGCTGAACTCAAAGTAGGGACAGGAAAATTACTGGTGGACTGCTTAATCAAAAGCACACCGGGACATCCAGGTTTTTAGTTGTCCCCGGAAAGAGGACAAAGTGTGAGCCTGTCTGATCTCCCTAGGGAAGGAGTTCATGATGAGACAAATGTTCTCCAGGTTTGTGCTTTACACACCCTTGGTCTAGACAACCATGTACACTCCTGGATGTTGGTGATCAAATGAGCAATGTTATCAGAAAAAGATTTCATTTGTGTTATTTTTGTACTTATATGCTCCCTGCAGGAGAAACACAAGCCCAGACCAAAAAAATGCATTTTGTTTACATCAACAGAAGAATACTACAGCTAAATATTTGTCCCTGAGTTTCTGCTTCATTGCCTCCTAAGGAACATCTCTACAGCGAAAATGATACTCACTTAGGCAGCAATAATGATATTGAACACTGCAGGAATCCCAGTCTGCCTACAAAGAACTATGCTAAATGGTTGAATTTTCAGAGAACGGGAATGATCGATTTTCAGCTGTTCGTTCTTTTTCCTCAATAACCTTCTGCACAGCACAAACCCCAGATGCATGTTTTCTGGCCATCAGCAATGGAATGAAACTTAGACACATAATGAGTAGAATGAAACTTAGACACATAACTGAACACAAGCAAAGTTGATACTCTAAACATTCTCCCTTAGCACATTTTTCTCCATCCTCTTTTCATTTATCTAAGTCAATGTTAGAGAATTAGGGTTGGGAACGGATTCCTTGCCAATGCAGTAAATCCGTCTGTTTCAAAACCTCTAATGAAATGCAGTCCATAACCTCCTGAGGCATTGCTATTACAGATTATGCCACTGTAAATGTTCTTCTAAATATTTACAGAAATTTTTCAAAACAGTACAGTTTGCACATATAGCTGCTTTCAACTAGTTCAAAATTCTGCAGCAAGACTTCCGAACAGCACCAGTTTCATTATCCCTTGTGATAACACCTTCACTAGCTCCCAATCCATTTCTAAGCACAATGCAAAGTGCTGGTTATGATCTATAAAGCCCTGCATGACTGGATCCAGGCTTTCAGAAATAGAACATTCTGCCATATACTGCCTTCCAGACAAACTTCCTTTTTTATCCTTTGGTAAGCTGCTCAAAGTTTTGTCTGTAGAATAAAAGAGGGATATAAAAATCTTTTAAAAATCTCTATTGCTGTAATTTGAATGTATTGTTTCAAATTACCAATAAGGGCCAGGGACAAGTTGGCCCTTTTCCAAATGGCTATCAGTGGACATCTCCCCCTCAATGGATTGTCACATTGTGGTCAGAGGACTTGCATGTTCCAATGAAACTGCTGGTGTAACCACCAAAGTCATGTATTCCCAAGAGGGGCCACAGAGGAGGATCCAGACTAAGCA